GAATACTATGCTGCATTGAAAAACAAGGAACTTATGCAATATTATTCAAAATGGGTGATCCTGGAGGACATTATGCTGAGTGAAATATCTCAGTCGCAAAAAGACAAATGATGCATGGTGCCACTGTTGTAAAATGGGACTGATATCAGGGTTGGGGTAAGACTAAGAAAAACTGGATAAATTGTGTATACTACACTGAAACAGATGAGGGACTGAATAATTTAAAAGCGATGTATGATAGTGTACTATGGTTATCACAAGAGTCCACAATTAAAGTTGCATAGTGGAATGTACTTGGGGCGGCGGGAGGGGTGCGGGGGGGATTGTGTACCAGGGAGGGAGTGTTTCTTTTGCTTTTGAGGGAGAGGAACGAACTGGGGGAGGGGGGGAGAGCTTGGCAGGGAGAGAAGTGCAGCAATGAATGAATGGAAATCCAAAATCTCTGTAAATGCTCATTAAAATTATTAAAAAAAATAAAGCTTAAAAAAATTCTTTCATTGTTGCACATTTTATTCCCTTTTCCTCCCTTTTCCCTCTTCCAATCTACTTTGCGATGCACCTCTTATTCCAGATTGTTGTTAATATGTAATCATATATTCCTTCCGGGCCATTCTTCCTCTCATTTGTTCCAATGCAGTATTCATTATCTAGCCACTCTTTTCCTGTTCTCCTCTCAACTCCCCATGTTAGTCCTAGTTTATAACAGCAGTGTTATGCAGTATTTGTCCTTTTATGACTGAGATATTTCACTCAACATATGTGTTCCAGGCTCACCCATGTTGTGTAATGTTTTCCTAGTTCATTATTTTTCAATCCTGTGTAGTATTCCATTGTGTGAATGTCATAGTTTTTCTGTTCATTCATTTGTTGATGGACAAAAGTATAAATTTGAATCTATAAATCAGTATTATAAAACCGAGCATTTTACATTTTTTGTTGTTGTTAGTGACCCCCTCAGTTGTCTGTGACTCATAGTGAACTTCGTAAAACTGAAGGTAGATTCTGCTTTGAGGAGGCAGCTCTTCACCAGTCCTGTTTGGCCTCCCAACCTGAAGGGCTCATTTTCCAATACAGTATCAGACAGTATTCTACTAGCATTCATAGAGTTTTTGAGGGCCTGTTATTTCAGAAGCGGATGGCCAGTCCTACTTCCTAGTCTATCTTAGTCTGGAAGTTTCATTGAAACTTGTCCACCGTGGATGTCCTTGTGGATATTTGAAACACCAATGGCATAGCATTGAGCATCACAACAACACACAGCTCACCATAGTAAAACAAACTGACAGATGCGTAGGCATTTTTCAGAGAGTATGTAAAATTTCCAGCAATCTGCTTTTATTTATACCTTGTTAAATTTTATATGTTGTTCTTAGGTGCCATAAAGTTCACCATCACTCATAGTAACTTTATGAATAGTAGATCTGAATCTTTTTCTATCCTGAGCCATTCTACTATCTCTGCTATGCTCAATCCCATTGTTAGAGTCACTATGTTGATGAGTTTTCCTTTCTTTTGTTGACCTTCTACTTTTCCCAGCATGATAATCTTTTTCCAAAGACAGACCCTCCTGATAATATGCCCAAGTATGTGAGATGAAGTTTCATCATCCTTGCTTCAGATTTGTTAGTCCTTTGGAATATCCAGTATTCTTTGCCAGGACAATTCAACAATTCTTTTTCTGTTATCCTTACTCATTGTCTAACTTTCAGATGCATAGGAAGCAAATGTAAACACTGTGGCTTGAGTTAAGAGCACCTTAGTCTTTAAACTGATATTGTTGATCTTTAGTACTTTGGAGAGATTCTTGATAGCAGATTTTCCTAATGTAACACATCTTTTTATATTTTTTAAACATCTTTTCATTTCTTGACTGCTACTACTATGGGTGTTGATTGTGGATTCAAGTAAAACAAAATCATTGATAACACCAGTCTTTTCTCCATCTATCATGATGTTGCCTGTTGTTCCAGTGGTGAAGATTTTTGTTCTCCTGAAACTGAGATGTAGCCCATATTAAAAACTGTTGTTGTTGTATACTGCACACGAGTCAGAACCAACCCATAGCTGACCCTCTGGTGGGTTTTCAGAGGCAGTTAATTAAATGGGAGGTGACTTCCCATCCTTCTCCTGCTTTAAAGACTATGTTGTTGTTGAGTCAAACACGACTCATAGTGACCCTATGCAAAAAGGCCTGAAGCCCTTCCATAACCATCATCACTTATCAAAGTTGATAAAGTTTCCAGAGACATGTTGTTTAGGAAGTGGATGCCACTCCTGCATAGTACATAAAAATAACATAAAAATAAGTTGTTGGAAATTGATAGTCCAGGCCATAATTTTCTTCTGATTTCAAACCATCTGATAATACTAATAGAAAAAAATAAGTGAACACTTTTGGAGAAATTGGATTCTAACATGTCCATAAGATTCTCAGGAAGGCAGTCTATTTCTTGGTAGCAGCAATTAAGATGTATGGTTATTACTTGTGTTGTAAATATACTTTGCTCTCTTATTTATTTTCTATTCTTACTAGGACTGAGCTTTAGAGAAAGTTTATTTGTCATAGATAAGCTAATAAATGGAAATGAAAAATTAGTAGAAGCATTTTATGGCAGTTATATAGGCATTAGGTAATAAATGTCTAGGCACTTATTGCCATTTGAACCATTTTCTTTGTCATACTGCTCTCTGTTTAGTACTATATGAATCTTAGTTTCTCTGTAAGAATTCATCTTTTGTCTCATGTTCCCTTATCTTTGTGTTTATTACATCTTTTCAGTGTACCTTAAATAATTTGTCAAACACATGATGGTTTTTGCATGGGTCAATTTATCCATATTTTAACAGTGCAGCTGAGTTTACATGTATATTTTGTCCCATCTTCCTATCTAAAAGGAATTTATATTGGTTTTTATGTAGAACACAATAGTCCCATATAAGTTGTTTGTATCTGAATCAAGCCCTCAGTAAATGCATAGAAATTCTCAGTGTTGTGAACTGTATTCTTTTCTAGAAGAAAATGAGGAAAGTGGAGATGTTTTAATGATGTTCAGAAAATACCAAGACAAGCATCCCAAATCAGGTATATTCATCAACCACAGAAAACGAATCAAAGAAAGAAGTAACATTAATGGGAAAGCAGTTAGCCTAGGTAAAAACCAAATTACTGCGAAAACAACAACACTATGTAACTCTAAAACAGAAGGAAAAGCTTTGAAAAATATTTCTGATTTTGTCATTAGAAGTATTAACCCTGTAAGAGAGAAGTTTGGTGAGAGTAGTAGATGGGAGAAATCTTTCCTCAGTGCAAAGCATGAGAAAGTTCATTCTGTAGTGGATCTCCATAAACAAACAGAGAGGGGTCTTGGTTACAAACAGGAGCTTATTCAGCATCAGAAAGTCCAAGCTCCAGAGAAACTGTTTGAACATAATGAGTGTGAAAAGCCCTTCTTTATAAAAGGAATGCTTTTTACAGACACTACAGTTCACCGAGGTGGAAGATCTCATGAACATGATAAAGATGATATACCTTTTATCCAGAAATTAAATGCCAGTGTCCATCCACAAACTCTTATGGAAAAGAAGCCCTATGCATATGGTAAATCTGGAAAATTCTTCTGCAAGAAGACTGTTTTCATAATGCACGAGAGATCTCAAACAGAGAAACCCTTTCATTGTCCTTACTGTGGGAACAGCTTTAAGAGGAAGTCATATCTCATTGATCATCAAAGAATTCACACAGGTGAGAAACCTTATGTTTGTAGTCAGTGTGGGAAGGCCTTCCGTCAGAAGACAGCTCTCACACTTCATGAGAAGACGCATATAGAAGGGAAACCTTATTTTTGTACTGATTGTGGGAAGTCCTTCCGCCAGAAAGCGACACTTACTAGACATAACAAAACACATACAGGGGAGAAAGCTTATGAATGTACTCAGTGTGGGAGTGCCTTTAGAAAGAAGTCATACCTTATTGATCATCAGAGAACTCACACAGGAGAGAAACCATATCAGTGTAATGAGTGTGGGAAGGCATTTATCCAGAAGACAACCCTTACTGTGCATCAGAGAACTCATACAGGAGAGAAGCCCTATATATGTACCGAATGTGGGAAATCTTTCTGTCAAAAGACAACACTGACTCTCCATCAGAGAATTCATACAGGGGAAAAACCCTATATTTGCAATGAATGTGGGAAATCTTTCCGCCAGAAGGCAATCCTCACTGTTCATCATCGAATACATACAGGGGAGAAATCCAATGGATGCCTTCAGTGTGGGAAAGCTTTTAGTAGGAAGTCAAATCTAATTCGCCATCAGAAAACTCACACAGGAGAGAAACCATATGAATGTAAGGCATGTGGAAAATTCTTTAGTTGTAAGTCAAACCTCACAGTCCATCAGAAAACTCACGAGAAGAAACTGAAATACAAGTGATGTGACTATTTTAACAAAAATTTTTAAAGTCATAGTCAACTCTGTACCATATATTTTTAAGGCTAATAATGAATTCTCTGCAATTTAAAGTACTGTGTACCATGTGTTTATTTACTGCTTGTGTGAAAAAATGAGTTTAGTTCTCTAATGATCAATAAATATTACTATACAAATTATAAAAATCATTGAAAATGACATGTCACAGTTTTTGTTATCAGATAAAGCAAGTGTAAGTTTCATTGTCAAATATTTTAAATTGCATGTTTCAGTGCAGGTATTTTTTGTGAACCAGTAGTTAACAGATGACTGACTGTGCTGGTCCATGGAGATGTGAATCATATTTTTCATTGCAGTATGGAATAAAAACCATTTGTTACCTTTTTGAAGTGAACCATAGCTCTAACATTATAAATTAGTTTTTACATATTATAAGACTGTACAAATTAGAAAATACATTCTATAGAAGGAGCCCTGGCAACACATAAAGCATTCAGCTCCTAGACAAAAAGCTGGTGGTTTGAAACCACTCAGCCACTCCAAGAGAAAGAGCAAGTGATTTGCTTTATAAAAATGACAGCCTAGGAGATCCTGTGGAACATTTCTAGGCTGGCACATAGGGTTGTTATGATTCAAAATAGATTATATAACATATGTTAGAAAATAATCATATTACTTTTTTCATATATGGATATTCTATTTATCTGTGTTCTCTAAGACTTATCAATATTTCATATGGCAGAACTTAATTTCTTTTCAGACAGTATGGAATTCCATTGTATAATTATATCACATTTACCTGTTCTACTGTTGATGGAGGTTTTTCATTGTTTACAGCTTAGAGTCATAATAAATAATGCTTCTGTGAACATGAATTGTCTTTGGGTATGCATATATGTGCATTTTTCTTGTTTATCTACCCAGTAGTGGAATTGCTAGGTCTTAGGACATACGTATGCTCATTCAGTTTTTACTACTACCAAATAACTCAGAACCTTCACAGCATCGCTTACTTTGATTGGAAAACAATTGTGAACATTTTCACTATGGTGTTTCAAACCAGCAAACACATAAAACTCGCAGAAAGGCTTTTTTTAGTCACAGCCCAAGATAAGTATAATAAAAGTAGGATTTAATTTAGTCATAATTAATGCCTTATTTGAAATAAAAATTTATGTTCTAGAAAGAGATAACCAGTATCTGCCTTGTTCAATATTGCAAAATTCTAACTAGAGAAAAATCTCACAGTATCCCTTATTAGGGAGATATCCTTTAACAACTGCTCGAACAACATATAGGTCATAGAAAAATAATGAATATGGAAATACCTATAAGGCATAGTTCACTCTTATACAGCACAAAGGGATTCATACCAAAGAAAGATTAAAAAGGAAGCAGAGACAACTCAATACCATGACCTAGGAAAGCCATCTGCTCTGAAAAATACAATTATATTGAGACTGTGATGCGAGACTTCATATGTAGGCACCCTGGCTGGTATCCCAACTGAGCTCCCAGTCATCAGCCAGCATCAGTTGACAGTCATGTGAGGAACCATGCTGGACATCCAGTCCAAGATTCAGACAGCATCCCATATATCCTACTGTCCTTAATCCAAGAGTCAAAACCAAACATTTATGTATCTTAAAGATCATGTTGGAGTTTTTCACTCTTAAATGTGAAGCAATTATAAAACATGCTTTCTACATCTCCAGATGTGTTTTCTTATAATGTGTGTATGTGAATAAGCAAGTCTCCACACTATCAGATTGTGTGTAATCTACCCTCAAACCTGAAGCTCTCCTGCTAGGTAATTCTAGAATTTCCTTTCAGTTTCTGAAATTGCAATAAAATCATACTTGCTATTCCCTGCCTCACAAGTAACATAAAACAGTAGGAAGGCAGAGGCTATAAATCTATTTTCTAATTCATGTGGGATAGTTTTCTCTTGTGAGTTTCCATAAATTCCTATTCTGGGGTGTTTTTTTAGAATTTTAGATATATGGCAGTACCAGGTCTATAGCTAGCAAGCACATAGAGTGACTGGAACTATAATGCATTGCTAATGGGAATGAAGAATGTTATGGCCTCACTGGAAAACAGTTTGACAGTTTCTTAAAAAGTTAGAAATGACTCAGCAATATCAAGTATTTATCTTAGAGAAATGAAAAGTTACTTTCACACAAAAGCTATGCATGATTATTGATGGTATCATTGTTTATACTTACAAAAACATGGAAACAGTTCAAATGTTAAGTGGATAAATAGCCACACAATGGAATAGTACTAAAAAATAAAAATAATGAGCTACTGATACATGCAACAACTTGAATGAATTTCAAATGAATTATATTAAAGAATCTAGTCTCAATAAATAATCTGTGGTATCATAGCATTTTTATGACATTCTGAAAAAAAATATAAAAATAGAACAAATTTATGATTACCAGGGGTTAAAGTTGGAGGAGGGATGATTGATTATAAAAGGATACATAAAGGAATTCTTTGAAATGTTGAAATTGTTCTATATCCTCTCTGTTTATGGACACAAAAATGTATACATGTGTAGAAAAATCCTAAAACAAAGAAGTTTTCTGTTTGTAATTTTTTAAAATGTAAATTATAAAACTCTAAGTATGTTCTCCAGCTCCATCATCAGCAGAAACTCTTGATTTATCCCTACAAAAAAGAGACTGTTTGACCTCTGATTTACGTGTCCAGTATCCTGTATACAAACACACACAGGCCTTGCCTGCCTTGCTTTAACTTGCTTCCCAAATCAATTCACCCATAACACAAAAGACAAACTAGGCTTATATTTGTAATTCTCATCCAGCTAATTGCCCTCTCTTAGAAGATCCAGTCCTCATGGCTGGGACTTGGGGTTGAAGATGGAATGAAAGCAGTCCTCAGATTATGAATGATATTCATACTTTGTCTGTGTTTCTAAGTGGAATTTATAGGGAATTTGGAATAGGTATATATGGTTCTTGGACAAAAAATTTTTTTAAAACTTTCTATTGTGATTTGAATGAACATTTAATGAACAAATTAATTTTTCATTCAACAGTTTAAACGTGCTGTGAGTCGGAGTCAACTCGGATGGCACCTTACAACAACAATGTAAAATGCTCAATGTTTTTAGTATCAATTACCAAAGTAAAACAGGTTCAATATTTTATTTACTATCTACTTTGAATCCTTCTGATTATGTGTTGTTATCTGAGGTAAGAAGATATTTTCTTAACAAGTAACCGCTAAAGAGAGCTTACCACTAAATGATTTCTGAATAAATGAGAAAAATGTATGCTATGTATGCTGTCTCAGACAGTGAATGAGGTACCTATTAACTACTTAGCCTGTATTTAAAAAAAAATTATGATTGATAGTTTGGTCTTGTTCCAATACATCTCATGTTTTCCTTTAAGCATTTTGTTGGCTTAGATCTAATACCTTTCTATTTATACTCTTATGACCAAGTGTAGTTCCTCTCCAAGCTCCTCTCATTTAAATTGTGATAGATTAAATCTCCAGTGAAGTGCAGATGAATTTGAAGGTGGGGTGAATACAGTTAGGACGTGAAAGGGACTCAAGCCTCCAAACATGAGTTTAGACTGGGAAAGATCCAGCACACTTAAAGAGGTTTAGATCAGACCCAAGATTCAGTGATACTGTGGAAACTGATTCCCATCTGAATTTGTATATATTCAAAGAAGTGTTTCAGCAATTTATTTTTACCAAACATCTTAAAAGAAATCATGAAAGATTTTAATTTATGTTTTTTGTTTTTGAAAAAATATTAATTCCGAATGGAAATCCAAAGTCTCTATAAATTTTCATTGAAATTAATAATAAATTTTTAAAAAAGAACATAAAAGAAAAAATAGTAATTCCTCAAAACATATTGTTATATTTAAGTTAGTCAGAATTATTATACTGAATTTGGATCATTAGAACCACAAATAAAAATACCTTCTTCATTTTAATGAAAATTTATGGAGACTTTGGATTTCCATTCATTCATTGTTGCACACTTTCCTTCCTGCCCACTCCTCTTCCCCAGTTCACTTTTCTCTTTGAAAAGTACAGTAAAAAAAAAATTCTTTCATTGTTATACAATACGGCTCCCTCCCCCCATTCACTCCACTATGCAGCTTTCATTCTGGACTCTTTTCATGACAATAACACCTAATCAGTATTCCTAAACAGATTCCTCCGAAACAGTTCTCTCCATCTATTTCAATGCAGTATACATAATTTATTCCCTCTTAGTTTCCCCCCAAACCTGATGTCAGTCCCACTTTACAACAGGGGCACTTTGCAGTATTTGTCCTTTTGTGACTGAGATCTTTCACTCAGCATAATGTCCTCCAAAGGCACCCATTTTGTATAATAGTTCATGAGTTTCCTTGTTTTTCAATGCAGTGTAGTATTCCATTGTGTGAATATACCACCGCTTCTCTATCCATTTGTTGATTTGCACTTGGGTTGTTTCCAACTCTTTGCTATTGTGAACAAAGCTGCAATAAACATGAGTGTGCAGTACCCTCTTTTTATATACTTGGCTTCACCCTTAACAGAAACATGTGTCAGGCATAGAAAGACTGGAAGGAATATGGTCTGAGATGTTGGTTACCAAACATTACCAAAGCTTTCTCAAGAAACTGTATAGTATTTTTGTTTTATCTCTTTCTTTGCGACCTCAGAGATATTCTCATCTGAGGGGAATATACCAGCAAGACCATGAATAAGTTTGTGTATTTTTTTGCCAACACAATAAAGATGAGGCTAACTCATTTTTTGGCCGATCAACTTTGAATCAAAGAAGTACATAATCTTAGTTTCTAGAAATTGGTTCTCTGAGAATCAAGTGTGCATACCCTTTTTTTAAAAAAAAATTTTTCATACATACCCTTTTTAAAGTCTTTTCATACCTATCCCCTCAGAGTATTTATATTCCTAGACAGTGTACCCCTTGGCATACCTATAAAGGTAACAATCCT